TTGATGAGGGTTACAATTGGAAATAAACAAAATGCCTCCAAGGGGTGTAAGCACACTAGTACTGAAAAGAGATAATTAAAGTTAATCTAAGAAATTGAAATTACATATTCTCTATTTGAGAGTGTTTGATTCGGACCCTTTTTTCTATGTCTTCTCTTCCTTTTTATATTTTCATGATGATTTTTTCGTGACAAACCGCTCGGAAACTGGTTGATTGCTTTATAATTACCCACTTTCTTCATGGTGGCTAACTTGTCGTGGAACTGCCATATCTAACTGCTGCTATTACTCTTGGTCGTTCAACCGCCTTCAAATGGGCTCCTTGAATCGTGAAATGAGATAAATCTGCTCGATAATTGCTTCAATAATTGCTACTCTGGATAACCATAATATCTCATGTTTGTTAAGATTATGGGTGATTTGAAGGTATAGGCGAGAACAAGGTTATTGCTCTGGCCAACCGTAAGATACTCCATTCGCTCAGATTCTGGACGTCTTTCAAGCTTGGGCCATGATGTTACTGTGTTCCTGGGCTTCCTCTGCATTCATCAATAATCTTATTTGGGCCTCTATCCTGGACTCCCCAATTGGGTCTCACTCTTTGGGCTATTTAATTTGGACTGCACTTTTAGTGTGTCAACAGAATTAAAGGGAAAGCGATACCATTTGCATTTGGTAGAAGTTAAATGGTGCTACAAACATGATGACTCGGCACAGCAAAACCATACTACCGCTGCTGCCTGAATTTTAGGAGTGGAGTATCAAGTTAGTTAGAGACCTCGCAAATCAATTCTAGAATGTTCCTTGTATATACATTGATTGTATAGCTCATATGTGTATTTAAACCATTGAAAATGTTTTAATTTGGCATTGGACTGAAGCAGCTATTCCAACCATTTTCTCCTTTCTTTAACTTGGTATCAGAGCCAATCGAAAATCGGTCCAATCCAACTGAGCTAAGCTCAACACCATCCATCCAAGCTGTTGCAACGTACAACTTACCATTTGGAATGAACCTCACTCAGACTGCATCAGTGAAACTCGACAAAAACAACTTTCTACTATGGAAGAATATGGTTATGCCTATTATTAGAGGACATAACTTGAAAGGATATCTGCTAGGGACAAAGGAGTGTCCAATAGAGTTTCTGGCTACTCAAACCTCCATTGGCCAAGGAGAAGCAGTGGAAATGATCCAGAATCCAGAGTACAACAAGTGGATCTCAACTGATCAATTGTTAATTGGATGGTTGTATTCATCCATGACTCCATAAATAGCAGTAAAGGTTATGGGCTGTACCAGTTCAAGTAAAACAGTAGTGGAAGAGAGATTTGGGATATTGAACAAGTCGAGGGTGGTATTCCTCACTAGAGAATTACAAAGGATAAGGAAGGGATCCATGTCTATGGATCAATACCTCACCAATGTCAAACAATTGGCTGACAACTTAGAAATTGTTGGGAAGATCATCAACCAACGTGATCTCATAACTCAAGTACTTTCAGAGTGTACCACGTCCTAAGGTTTGTAAATATCGAAAGATGCAAATTTACGGCTTTATAGCCACCACTATTCACCCTAAGTTTCAAAAAATGTAGCGACGCAATTGACCACTAGTCGCAAGCCGAACGTCCTGGGGTAAAATCGTCCAAAATCGACCGATTAACTTGGAAAAAGAAAATAACAATGTTAGAACATTTAAAACGATAAACTTAACAACATATCCGAATAAACCTCCTCTAGAATCGTCGCACGCCACCACCAAAAGCGCACACGCCTCCACGGAAGAACCACGTGCCACCAAGCGTGCCACAAGAAAGAGCACCTTGACCTATAGATAGCTATTTAACCCCCACTTTGGTTCTCTTCAGGTACCGACAAAGGACACAAGTATGAAGGTATTATTGTAGCCACAGGCAATCACGAAGACTAGAAGGATAGAACAGTGGGCACAGAATCACAAAGGAAAAGGCAGTCGTTTTATCTCTTAAAGGAAAGAGCAAATAATACCATGAATCACAAAGCAAAAGAGGGGCAGCATTATATAGTTAGAGGTTGGGTATAGTAATGGGCCAAGTCCAATAAAAAACCAGTAAGTGGGCTAAAACTTATAAGTCGTCCATGAAGTGGAAAATGGACCATGGGCAGCACTAATTAAATTATGCTACTTGCAATGACCCAAATAGTTTTAGGGTTAGGTCGTTTCATTGAGATGTCTACTTTTAGTTCAGTCATTTGGTCGATGCAGACTGAGTAAATTATACCGATTTAACATCATCGCCCGGAAGGTCGTTTAACAACAATTTGCCCAACAAAGACCAAGTCTAACATTGTATTCTCTGGCCATTCAGAGTCATTAAACATTGACCATATATAGCAAGCCTTCACATCTACACCTTCTTTGTAAATAAAATTAAAAATCATGATCAATGAATTTTTTTAACAAAATAGTTAAATAATTTCATAATTTACTATTTGCTTTGAGATCTGATACGTAATGATGACTTACTCCATGTGTAACAGTAGGATTTAGGTGAAGGCCAATATTGATGGAGAAGCCCATGGAAGCCCGGGTCAAGCTGAATGTGCTGGTTTGTTTTACAACTGCGTGGGGCTCGTGAAAGGTTGCTTTGTAATCCCTCTTGGTAATTTGTGGGCTTTCGAAGCTGAATTGCTAGAGATGATACATGCGATTAAAATAGCATGGGAAAATAATTGCATTAATTATTGCTGACTCAATCTTTGTGGTGCATCTCACGGCAAAAAGGTCTTGTGACATGCCATAGAAGTGGAAGTACTTATGGGCTACACGCTTACACATTTATCGGAAGGCTATAGAGTTAAAGAAGCTCTTGCTGGTTTTCCGCCAAGGAACAGATGCCAAACTGGTGAACTACGTCGCCTGATTTTTATACTATGTTCGTGTCTGAGGATGCCATGGCCGATTTAGTTATCATTTCACATAGATTATATTCATTGTTTCCCTGGCATGTCGAGACTTTTTTTTATTCGGACTATAGTTATTTTTTTATTAATAAGGGTTGGGAGAGTAAATCAGTAAATGATGAGGGTGCTACGAAAATTCCAAATTAGTTGGGATGTGCCCTTACACCATCTAATCCCTATCACCAACAAATTTATACAAAAAAAGAAAAAAAAATGTTTAACAACATTTTTATATAACTAATGAACATTTCTCTGGAACCCTGACTACTCAAGAAAAGGACGAGAAAAGTGTAGCACACACAAATCTTTCATTTGATCGAACAATTAACACGGGAAACAAGGGAACACAAATTTAGTAGAAGATCTATTCAATAACATGTGAGCAAAATGGAACTTGAAAATTCAGTTAAGACAGGAATATCCACAATAAGACTAGTTGCATATGCTTATATTAATGCTATATGGAACATTGAACAAATGTATGTCCATGAAGGAGAGTTTTGGAGGGATGGGATATTCCAGAGACTAGTTTTAGACCTCCACTGGTATATTTTGAAGAGGAGCGTGGCTACGAAAGTAATCATAAGTTAAGAAAATATTTTGCACAACAGATAAGGTCTCATAAGGAGTACAATGATGGCACACGAAAAGTAGAAATTTTCTTTTTCTTCTACCTCTAGTAGATTTAAACTGGTTAAATGTACCTCTATCTCTTTCATCGATTAGTGGTCGGGTTGTATTTCCTTTCCAAAGTTTTATTTTCTCCTTCATTTTTGTGAGGGTCTATAAATAATCCACAAATACTGTGGCTCATTAAAAAATAAAAAATAAAAATAGGAGTTCCGTTTATTAAATATGAAAGGTACAAAGTTACAACTTGAAAGGCAGAACAAAAGGGGGAAAAAAAGGAGAGCACATGCACGTAGCATTCAACATAACAATTCAAATGAAACATGACCAGACTAATTTTATGCTTCACTGCTTCTTAACCTTTTCACAGAGCTTCGCTCCTCTTCATCTTTTGGAGCTTGTCTCTTCGATGCGATTCTCTTCTTGTTCAAGAAATTCATTAGCCATATAGCAGAGATTTTTGGGAATCTAGTCAAATTGCCATTAACGAAATCTACGTAAAAAAGACCAAATCTAACACTGTATCCTGCAGCCCATTCGAAAGTATCAAACATTGACCATATATAGTAAGCTTTCACATCCACTCCTTCTCTGTAGATGAATGAAAAAATCACGATTTTTTTTTAACAAAATAGCTAAATAATTTCATAATTCACTATTTGTTTCGAGATCGAATACATAGTTATTAGAATGATGACTTACTCCATTGCTTTCTTAATATAAGAGAGATGGTCTTGGTGATATTTAATCCTCGTCTCATCAAACCGAGCTTCTGACAATGTTAGGGACGTATTGTTCACTTCATCCACCCCTACACAAATTAAGCCATCCAATAAAACACATTGAAAAGGTTAAATATTACAAAATGTTTACTATCTTCCTAAAGAAAAAAGCTAATAAACATGCTATAAATTTACCATTCTCTGTGATGTAAATGATAGGATTATTATATGTTTCCTTTATATAAAGCAACAGCTTGTAGATCCCAATTGGAAAAATTGACAACCAATCTGAACCACCCTGACATCAACAAGATATGATAATATACTATAAGATTCAGAATAAAAGAATAATAGTTTAATCAATTGTTGCATTACGCGATAGTCCACTACCAAAAATTGTTGAAATTGCTCCATCTTTTAAGCAAATATGTTATAGCATAGCCGTTGGGATAATCCAATCTATTGTCTATGTTCTTTCTAAAAAAAGACAATGTTAAAAGGCATACCTTTGGACCAATAGGTCTCCCATCACGCTCACCTATAAAGGATCGAGAGAGTGAGCGCTATGTGGTAAGGTTAATTTATAGCTATACACGAACAAGTTCCAAACACTTACTTGATAATGCAATATCCTGATCATTTGAGTAACTTGGTGCTGTACCAGGTTTGCTAGGTGAATTGCTAGCATAATTACTTGTGTAATAGTTTATGCCTAGAAAATCATATGTCCCTTTCACCAACTTAGCTTGTTCTTGTGTAAATTGAGGAAGACGGTCTCCAACTAATTTTCGCATAACTGGTGGGTAGTCACCAGTTACTACTGGTGCTACGAACCTGAAAAGGGGTGGAGGAAAACGGGATATTGAAACTCAGACATTTTTTATACAATATATAAGCACCAAAACCGAAATAAAAAAGAAGATGCTTGTATTTACATCCAAACAAAACTGTAAATTTGACAATATAATTTCTGCTTCATAAATCATAGAAAGCCCAATAAACAGAGGAAGTAAAAAGCATAAATGTGTGAAAGTGGTGCAGCCGGAAATCATGAGAACGAAGAAAAATAAAATGTTTGTTTCTTATTTTTTCGTCTTCCTGGGGAGTAAGTATTAGAATTTGTTGCTGTGTTACTCTATTTTATCTAAGCGTGGGCACGATAAGACTATTCACTTACTGATATGGTATGAGAACCTTACTTACGGTTCTATCCAAATGTGAGAATCGTACGTAAGGTTCTCTCCAAGTGGGCAAGATAAGACTTCCCACAGGAGAACATTTCTATTTATCTAAGAGCTCCAAAATATTTATATATGTTTTCTCCCTTTTATTTCTTCCTTGCTATATACCAACATCATGTACTGGAAAAGTTTTACCAAACCCGTCTTCCTCATTTTTTGTGTTGAAAAATGGAGTTGAAAATATGTTCCATGGTCACTTTCTTTGTCATTGCATTTTTTGGTAGACTCTTTCTTTATCATTACAGATAATGAAATCTAACATTTTTGTTATAACAACTGCTTTCAGTGGGAAATTTACTTCCATAACATTTACTGATCCATATACATTTACTCAGTATATCGAGATGGATTAAAGAAGTATAATTAAATATATCAAAAGGGAAAATTAATGAGATTGAAAATAGGCCAAGATCGGGGCCTCATCATGAAGTGAACAAATCAAGTATA